CTGTATTTAAGAGATCCTGAATTCTTGATTGTTGGCAAACTTTCAGGCAAGTAAAAATCAGTGTAGTCTGTAGGTTTTTGAACTTCACACACACCAAAAAAATGCTCTGTTCCTTCCATGGCATATGCTTGTGCCACTCAAGGCTAAATCCTCAAAATATAAGGAGGGGACTAATCATTAAATTGTGTTGCTAATCCCTATTTCATAGAATTATTGTTCATAATGGATAAATAACACATCCCAGGCAGATGAGCTCTACCTGGTAGATAAAAGTTTGCTTTGGTCACAGTTGCCAGTGAATATGGATTTCAAAACAAACATAAGCCTTAACTTAGGATTTCATTATGTTTTAGAATCATCACTGCCTTAATGTTCAAACACCTATTTAAATCCTCCTGGTAGAGGAGAAATGCATGTTTGTTTATGGCTTTTTGTAAATATAAATGCAGTGATCTATGGCTTTAAATTTTTTTTGTTTCTGTGGCTTTAAATTTTTTTTGTTTCTGTGGCAGTATTTGTTATTCCAGACAATAGAGTTATTTACAGAAAGTGGAGCATGTAATAGTTCTTCATGTACAAGTAAGTGCTGTTTCCCCCAAAACCTTAGTTACCTGAATTGTTCTAAGATTATTTGTAAAAACTGAAATTCGGTGATTAAAGAGATGTAAGAATTCTCCCATTTTTTTGTGAATTCTTTGACCTACTCATAATGTAACTTATGTTGTTGCCTTAATTTTTCACAAACTCATTATCTTCTAAAAGTCACATGATGAAATGATTGTGCCTAGTTATTTTCATTATTGTTTTACCTCTGGTCATAAAAACATATTAACAGTTTTCCTAATAGAAAATGAAAAGATACCCCATTACCAAAGTTTCTATTTTTATGTAAATTTTTTATTTTGATAAAAACTATACACCTTACAATATAAGTTTTTGGAAAATATATTCAAAAGAAAATTAATGCATTTGCCAATTATACAATGGAATGGCTTTTTGTAAATAATGTGGTTCTGGCTTAAGAGGAAAAGAGTTAAATATGAGTTCTTTGTTTGGTCACTAATTTGCAGAAAAACCAAATCACTGCTTCTGATTTTCTTAACATAAAGGAAAAATAAAGGTAGAAAAATTTTGTAGGCTTGAAAGATACCATGTAAAGTTTGAAGCTACTTTTTTTTCTTTTTAATTGATTTCAGAAAGAGGAAGGGTGAAGGAGAGAGAAACATCAATGAGAGAGAAACGTCGATCAGCTGACTCCTGCAAGTCCCCTACTGGGGATGGAGCCCACTACCCGGGCACATGCCCTGACTGGGAATCAAACCAGCGACTTCCTGGTGCATGGGACTACACTCAACCAACTGAGCCACACCAGCCGGGCTGAAGGTACTTTTGATGGAAAGAAAATGTATCAGTGTCAACCTCGTTGTGCAGTTGTATTGTTTTACTTATAGTGGCAAATGACATGTTGATATTTACATATAACCCTTCATGGCCTTAATTTTAGAATGTCTATCTTAATTCCAGTACAAACATGCTCATCAAAACCTGCCACCTAATATTGACTCCAAAGAGTATTACTATCTAGTATATTTAGATCAGTGCTTCTCAAACTTGTCCTCGAATGCTCTTGTAATTTGGCGGGGGGTGGGGGTGGGGGGTGATTAGGGATGAAGCTTTTGAAGTCTCACGTATTATGCAGTCTTTTTTTCCTTATATTTCACAATATGTGTGTGTGTGTGTGTGTGTGTGTGTGTGTATTCTCATCTGAAATGTATTAAAGTACCACTGATTAGATTTGACCCTAGGAAAGGAAATGTCAATCTTTTGGTTTATACATACTCCCAACATCTAAAACACTTTGTTAAGTGATATGAATTTTAATCCAGCTTCTTCAGCAAGATGTTGGCTAGTATAATATTCTTATGGCCAAGAAGGTAGTCTGCTAAATACTATTGTTGTTGCAGTGTTTACATCCGAAAGATTCTCTCAGTCATGCAAACTGTACTTATTAGCAGATACACTGATATATTGTTTACCTATCGAGAGAGGCAGGCTACAGAGCAAGTGGAGAGAAGTCTCAGGTTGTCAGTGTTGTGAAACATTAACAAATGCGGGCACTACATTTAAAAATATATATGTTTGAGCCCTGGCCAGTGTGACTCAGTTGGTTCGAGCATCATTCTGTGCACCACAAGGTTGCTGGCTTAATTCTGAGTTCAATTCCCAGTCAGGACACATGCCTAGGTTGCTGGTTCAATCCCCAGTAGGGGTGCTTATGGCAGGCAACTGATCGATGTTTCTCTCTCCCTTCCTGTCTCTCTCAAATCAATGAAAAATAAATAAACAAAAAAACTTTCCAAAAAAATTTCAATAAATAAAAATATGCATGTTTGAAAGGAGCAAGTGCCCAAATGATGTGAATGAATAAAAGCATTGTCTTTAATACTTGAACCAGAAGAGTACCAATATTCATTCAGTTCTTTCAACAAACTTAAGAAAAAACTCCAAATTTTATATTACCTTACTAATAAGCACATTTGTAATTTTATTCTAATGCCATCAATTTTTGGTACTTTACTCTCAAGCAAGTTAATATTACAGGACATAAGGCTAGAAAAATAAACAACAAAATTAAAACAAGCGATACACTTTTTTTTAGTTTATCGATGAAATTATTTCAGAAAATGAAAAAAATGTATCTCCATGGCAACTTTGTCATTCTCAAAAGAACATATGTTACCTCAATGTGAACAGACTTTTTTTTTCTTCCCCTAAAAAAGTGAGCTTAGTAGCACAGTATGCATCAACAAGACCTTGTTCCAAGCCTGGTGGCATCTTCTTACTGCTTCTGCTTCTGCTTTGTATTCTTTGTTTTCTGGTGATCCGCTGCTTTTCCATGCCCTGGGTGAGACACTTGGTTTTATAATTGCATCTCAAACATGTTGCTGCTTAGGGCTGAATTTGAAACAGACCCCTCTCCTACTTTGTCCTGTCTTCTTTTTCCTGTGCTGCCCTGAGAAATTTAGTGACTTCAGAAAATGTAGAGTTCATGCTGCAGTAAAAATTTGGCAGCGGTCTATGCATTTGAATTAACTTTTCACAAAAGGATATTTAACCTTAAAAAGCTCCTCAATAACTTTTCCCTATTTAAAAAGTGAGCCTTCAAAAATTGAGATTTTATATAATACTTTTGAGAAACCATCCAAACCTTGGCAAACTATGCTTTAGGAATTATTTACTCTACGTTGTCTTATTTCAGTTCATGGTAATAATTTTTGTTTAGCTATACTTAAGAGTCTAATACCGTTTGTGTTTTTGCAATCCTCACTCGAGGATATTTTTCCATTGATTTTTTTTTAGAGGGAGGGAGGGAAACATCAACATGAGAGACACATCCACCAGTTGCCTCCTGCGTGCACCCCAGTCAGGGTAGCAAACCTGCAACCCAGGTATGAGCCCTTGACCGGGAATCGAACCTGAAACCCTTTGGTCTGCGGGCATGTTGACGCTCTAACCACGGAGCCACATCAGCCAGGGCAAGAGTCTAGTACGTACTATTTTTTTTTTTAAATATATCTTTATTGATTTCAGAAAGAGGAAAGGAGAGGGAGAGAGAGAGAAACATCAATGATGAGTCATTGATCAGCCGCCTCCTGCATTCCCCTGACTGGGGATCGAGCCCCCAACCAGCATGTGCCCTGACCGGGAATCGACCCCGATCCCTTGGATCATAGGTCAATGCTCAACCACTGAGTCACGCCTGGCCGGGCTAGTACATACCATTAATGAATTGTAAGTTGATCCCAATTTTTTTTCCTTTTTCACATTTATTTTGTAAGATATGGTATATATTTAAACCATTTGAATCACTATTCTGCAATGAGATATGTGCCTAAATAACAGGTCTTCAGATTTAAAGTTCTCTAAATAGCTACCTACCATATAGTGTCTCCCTGACATTCCATTTTCCTGAAATTACATTAGAGAAATCAGTCAAGAGGATTTGGGTGAGTAGCCACAGAAATTAAGCCTTCATAAGTGAAGAGTATCAGGACCAGTGGCATTTATCCCAAATTAAATGTTTAATTCAGAGATTACTAGTTTTCTTCAGAACAACATGCAGACTAAAACCAATGAAATTGCTAACAGTTCTTTCCCATTTAGAGGCTTGGTTAAAAGCTATAACCCTCCTGTGGTGCTGAAAGTAAGACTAGTTTATAGTATGTTTTCAAGTTTGCTGATTTTAAGTTTTAATAAGCAGATAAATTGTTTCATTTTAACAGATACACAGGGAAGAAACATCTGTATTTTGAACTAAATGGGAGAAAAAGACATTTTCTTATGTATTTGTAAAGAATCAATTTTCCAGTGGTTACTAAGGAATGTCATGCATAGTGCTGACTGCCTCTTAATTTTAACACCGATTTAGCACAAGCAGTGAATGTAAAGAGAGTATTGCTTAGAGAGTAGAGATTTCCTAATAATGGCATCAAATGTGAATACATTAACTTAGCGTCTTAGAATTTTCTTGAATAACTCACTACAGTGATAATGCACATTCTCCTGAAAGAGGGATGAGTGAATGCCAACAGCTCTTCCTGGTTATGGCTAAATATGCCCTATGCTGCTATGAGAGAGATTATCTCAGAGAAAAGCAGGCTTGTCGTCG